CGCGCCCATTTCCTCTCCCCCTCGCCGATCGGCCCCGCAGCATCTAGGCTCGAAGCCTCGCGCACTCTCCTTGTTTAGGGCGCGCATGCTGCTTGGATTTCCACGGTCGAGCTCGGCATCGCTCGACGCCATGGAGCGCCCCCCCCCCCCCCGCGCTCGCCGCGCGCAGGGCGCTCGATTTGAGGGGGGGGGTCCAGTCAGACAGGCAGCCCACAGGCGACGAGTCCACCTGCGAGACCAGCGCGCTCAGCGGTGGACCCAGGCGCACACTGTCGTCGCAGGGGTCAGCAGGCGCCGCCAGAGAGACACCGGGCAGCGCCAGCTGGAGCAGCACCAGATCGCGGCGAAGAAGGCCGCAGGGGGCAGACCAGACGGCGCCCACACGGTGCTTAGAGAAGGTCGCGGCCCCCCCATGGAGCGGGTGGCTCCGCGCCCTTGAGAACCAGCGTCAGTTTCGTCCAGCGGTCGTGGAGTCATCCGCCCACGCCGCGAAAAAAAATCACGCAGCGTGCCCAGAGGCTTGCAGTCCTGTCGGCCATCTACTACTTCCGCGCGTGGGTGGTGGAGCCCGAGGCCAATGGCATACTGCGCAAATCGCTGAAGAAAGGGCCACTTCCCCCAGTAGAGATTGTTGCGGGCCAGCAGCTGATCCACCACCCGAAGGGGCATCATGGGCGCGAAGGCGAGGAAGTGCCAGCAGCTGTGGGCCCCAACGGCCCGCGACGCGCAGGAAGTTCGAGAGTTGTTCAGAAGTATCCGCGAGAGAGCGATGGACGAACAGCTCCCGCAGATGGAGATGGCCGACATCTCCAGAGCGGCATCACGCATGAAGGCGAAGGCAGGCATGGGCATCGACATGGTCACGCCCGCGGCCTACCAGAGGCCCCGAGTCGAGGGCCAGGCGGAGCGGCTCCTCATCCTGGAAGCAGCCGAGCACACTCTGGCGCGGCCAGCTCAGACGCTCGCCGCCATAGGGGCGCTCACCCCCAAGAGAAACGGCAGGAGATCGCGCCATCGGCCTCGTGTCGGTGCTCGGCCGTCTCTGGCCACTCCCGCGAGAACCCCATGTGCAGTCGTGGTCGGCCGACAGCGCCCGACATCGGGACGCAGCCCAGCCCGGCAACTCATGCCTGCAGGAACCGTTCCTGCGGGCGTTGGGCGAGGAGCTGGCCATCACCATGGGCATGAAGTGCGGCCACGGGATGTCCGACATTGCCGCGTTCTACGACAGCATCCTGTGGGCCATCCTCGTGGCGGCCCCCACGCGGCTACGCTTTCGTCCAGTCATATTGTATTTTGAGCTGCTGCAGCGCGCAGCCCCGAGGTGCTTAGAGCAGGACAAGGCAGTTTCCGACCCTTTTGACCCGCTCCTCAGCGCCGTGCAGGGGCTCCGCTCGGGGGCCCGTTTCGCCGAGATGATGACGCACCGTGCCATGATCACGGTTGCGACCGCCCATCCCAGGATGGCGGCGAGGCTCTGGGCGGGCGATGCGTCGGAGACGGTCAAGGGATCGAGCAAGGCCGTCCGCCTGGAGCTCGCCAGTGGCATCATCACTACGTGCCAAGAGCGGCAGAAACGGAAGCTCAATGTTGCGGATCAGTCTGTTGTGTAGGTTGATGAGTGACGCGCGCGTTGTTGATTGACTCTTCCGCCGAGCTGGTGTCGTGGTACGCCCTGACGCACGCGCCGCATACCTCGGCATCGACTTCGGCTGCGGCAGAAGAGCACGCACAATTTGAGTCCAACGTGAGAAGAAGCATCGCCCCATGAGTTCTAACATGCGCAGATTCACTCGGGCCACGCGACAGCATGGAGCTATGTCCAAGCTCCAGCGACAAGGGGGTTTCCCAGCAGGCCTTTATGGGCACCAGGTCCACGGGCTGTTCGGCGAGCAACTCACGAGGTGCCGCCGCCGCCCAGCGCATGCCTGCGCCTCGGCGGCGCAGGGGCCGTGTCCCACTACAGCGATTGCCCTTCGGGCCCCAAGGGCCGACCCCGCCGCGCTCCACCCTGCGCAGACAGTTGGCGCGCAGCTCAAGACACGGCGCGACCGACCCGAGACGCGAGCTGGCGCACGACGAGCGTGGCCGATCATCCTTTTGGCAGACGCAGGCCATCCTTGTACCAGCACAGGCACGGTTCATCAAGGGGCCCACTGGGGCCATCATACACTCGCTGTTGCGCCTGGGCTGTCATCCCCAGGATCCATCGACGCGGTCATGCCCGACAGGTCCTGACAGCAATGAGGGGTGGCAGTTTCCAGGAACCATCAACACGGGCAATCCACATTGACCGACATGACGACCTCCTGGCAGGCGCGCACGCGGCATGCGAGTCCCAGCTCTGGACCCAAGCCGCCAAGCACTTCTGCGGAGGCGGTCTGGAGATGGGAGTGGACAGCGCATCGCGCATCCAGCTCGGCCGATATGTGCACGCAGGCTGCCACCCAGCGCAACGCTGCCGAGGCGTTCTGGTTGCGAGGGCTCCGCCCTGCACCCTGGGCGGAGGTGGGCCCGCCTCCGACAACCGAGGCCTGGCAGTTCAGATGGGGGGGGGGGGGGGGCGAGAGCTGGCGCCTGGCATGTTTGGGCCAGGCGCCGCCGCCCACCCCGTGCTGATTTTTGGAGACGCCAGCGGAGGGCCCGACAGCCGATGCCCCAGGCTTCGCCGAGTGGGCTTGGCAATCACATTCCAGAGTCTGCTTCCCACCATCCGCCCCGGAGGGTTTATCATCGGGCCCCTGCGCCGGCGGAGACAGGTGGCGGCGAGAGGAGAGCTCAAGTGCCTACACCCGGCGCTCTGGGCCACCACCCACCACCTCACGTTCGTTGCTGATTTCGAGGCTGTCAAGGGGTGGCATGAGCCGAGGACCAGCCACCCCAGAGGCTTCGACGCGGACCTATGGACCGCCATCGGACAGATCATGGCCACCCGTCCCATCGAGCACGTTACTGTTATTTTTTTTCACACACTCTCATCTCTCGGCTACCCAGATGGCCAGGGGAGAGGGCATCAAGCAACCCATCATCGGCAACGCAGTCGCTGACGAGCTGGCAGGCCTGGCAGCTGTGCAGACCAGGGCTCCCGAGGCTGAGGGGCATCGTCTCCTGCTGCACGAGCGACGCGCACGTTTGGCGCGCCTCAGACTCCTGCGGGCGGCAGTCGACTGCCTGGCCAAGGAGGAGGAGTTGGGAAAGCAGCGCGACGGAAAAAGGAGACGCGGTGTGCTGCTTCCCCCTCGGGCCGCTGCGTCAATCGCAGCCCTGATGTCGAGGCATGCGTTGACCGACTCCAAAAACAGATGCACGAGATGCCGTGGCCTTGCGACCGCGACCACCATGACAGAATGGCATGCCACCGCGTGCCCTGTTTTAGTGAATGTGAATGGTCTCATCTCACCCACTCCAGGTGGAGGGCGGATTCATGTCGGGGGGGGTGCGCACTTCACACCATCTTAACGTGCATGTTGAATTAAATTGTTGGTTACGCGGGAGGTGCGGGGCCACGGCTGACAATCATCTGCGAGCCTTAGCCGAGCCCTGCACGGGCATCCCCACCCCCACGGGACGTTTATATCTTAAGAGAATTAGTGATGTGCTACCCCCGAAGGTCCGCAGAAAGGCCGAATTAGCCCAGCGAGGTCTGGGGTGGAATCGGTCGGGATTGGCATCGCCATCGGTTCCTACTCTAATTCCTACTCCTACGTCAAACTCCATCCATTTCAGTATCCTCATCTCCCCTCCTCCCCCCTCCTCCTTCCTCTAAGGGTGGGCCCTTCGAGGAGGGGACGTCTAAACCAGATCGTGGACCCCCCATCCTACGATACAAACACTACGATGTCGGCATGCTTACTTTCAACATGAACGTTTGTGGTCCGCGTCGCACAAGGCTTGGCAGAAAGGGGACGGGGCGCACATTCGGCCCGAAGGGGCGAATTGTCGCTTTCGCCTCAGCGTCGCAAACATTTTTCTGGAGACTTGAGCTTGTTTGTGGTCGCGTCGCGCATTGTTCACACGCCAACGTCGATGTGGAAGCGGACGAGGATGTTGTCTTCGCTTCGGCGCCAGGCATATGTCGTTTGAAAGTGGTTTTTCGGCCTCAGCGCGGTGCGTTTTTTCCCCCTCGCCAAGTGTTGCGGCCCCGCCCGAGCGGGCGATGCATTGCCCTCGCCCCAGCCCCGTGCGCCTTTCGATTGGAAGCGGCGGTCCCGCTCGGGCGCGGCTACGTTCGCCGAGCCTTATTCAAGCGGCAGCGGCAGCGGGGCCGCGCGAGAGCGGGGGATATGTGGTTCTCGCATAGTAAACGCCGCGCAGCTTGTGGGTGAGAGTGGCGGTGATGTTTCTGCGCGGCGCATGTTTCTTCTTCGCCGCGCTCATTGTAATTGTTGCCGTTCCCGCCATTGCGCAGCCTGCGTAGTTTCACCTTCGCCATGTCGTCGGAGGCGAAGCCGCGCGAGAACATTTTCCTTTAGCTAGATGGGAAGTCGTTCCATTCCCACTGCCTAGTTATGGGGGCAAGGGTGGCAGTGGGCGGGGCCCGCTCGTTCGACTTGCTTAAATTGATCTCCTCTCCGTCTCCTGCATGATCGTATGTGTTTTCTGCCTTCCTCCCCCTTGTCTTCTTCCTCGTCATCATGTTCGTTCTCATGATTTTCATCCGCCTCCTGTTGCTCCTCTGCCCCCCCTCCCCCATGATCCACCATCCCTCGTCACCATTCTCCTTTCCCCCCCCGTCTTCCAGAAGCGGTATCTGCGAATTTTCCCTGCCCCGTCTTCCTCCCCTTCCCTCCTCGTCCGCCTCCACTAGGTCTGCCTCCGCCTCCCCCTCCAAGTGTCGATCATCGATCCTCTCCACCCCCCCCCGTTGCTCTTCTCCCCCGCTCCCCCATAACCCTTCCCCTCGTCCCTCTCCTCCCCCCCCCCTCCCTCCACACCTCGACGCTTGATCCCTCCCCCTCCCTGGGGCCGCGGCGCGCGGCGCCAGGGCAACGTTAGGGGGGATGAGTTCCGGGGAGACCGCACCGACCCCCAATCGCCAATGCATCGCCGGTAGGGTCCCGACGGCCCGCCCCCCGCCCATGGACGCGCCAATTCGCTATCTGGGGCCTATCGCCGATGGATGCATCGTCGATTCAGGCTGAAAGTTCCCCCCCCCGAGCCAGTCCCCCCCGATCGTTGTCCCCCACAGAGGGTGGCATGGCCCGATGGCGCCGCGGGGCCGCTGGGGGCCTTTCCGGAGAGCAGGCGGCGCCCGCGGCAGCGGCAAGCGGCGGGCGGCGGCAAGCGCCGGCGGGCGGCGGCGACGACGATTGCAGCGTCTTTTCCCTCCTTCGATTCCCCTTCCCTTCCATTCTCCAAGTTCTCCATTCTCATACGCACTCCTCCCTCTCCTCCCAGTCCTCCCACTCCCCCCCTCCCTCCCTACTCCCCTCCTTCTCCGTCTCCATCCTCCTCAGTCCTCGTGCAGGGCACAACCTGGAGCATGATTGAATCAACCGTATTTGTACCAAAGACTTTTTTGGGCGTCGCACTAGACCCCATCCTCCTTCGCACCTAGTTTGAATTCACCCTTAGCGAACCTCTTTAGACACTCAGCCGCCCAGTCCGCAACCTGCTCGGGACAACGGGAGGCCAAGTTAGAGCATCGTGGGGCAGCAAAACACGCACAGCGAGCGCATCCAACCCCGAGCAGACCACCATAGCTGGAACAAGACAAATGCACTTCTCCGTCTCCTCCATCCCATTTAACACGCGGCACGCACGCCCTGGCCCTTGCCCGCCGATGGAGGGGCGATGGACGGGAAAAACAAGGTGATTACGGGGGAAACTTACTGGGGCCATCCTGGCGCCGTCTTGGGGCCATCCATGGGAGAAAGGATGCATGGGCCCCGAGGCTTTGTGCCAGGGGACCAGGGGAGAAAAGAAGGGAATGGCGAACGAACGGTTGCGAAAATTCAAGGTTCCGATCTCCCGAGCACAGCTGTGCAAGATAATGCTCTCTTTCATTTTCCGCCCCCGTCTCGCGCTCCGCGGTCTTTGCCGTATCTCGGTTCAAATTCTCTTGCGCCCCCCCCTGGCGCGCGCCTGATCCAAGCGCGAGTTTTTTTTGTTGATGCTTCCGGGCCGCACTCTACGAGCGGCTCGGAGGTCAACCTATTCCATCGCGCGCGGACCTCGGCGCAAGCTTTGCGGGGCCGGCGTGGTCCGCTCACGCCAACCCCAGCGGCTGTGGGCAGTGCCCTGCCGCCTTTTGGGGCGCGGCATGCCCCGCCGTCTGCTTGGGGTTGGCTGTGGACCTGAGCAGAGGGGTCATTCTTTTCTGTTCTTGTCGGTCGTGGCGTTGCTCGGTGCCGCGGCCGTCTGCAGTTTCTGCGTGTAGAGGCCGCGAGTAGTGGGCTGTCCAGGTTTTATTTGGTTGGCTTCGACTGGGAAGCGATTTTGGCGCAGCTCCGTCAGCTCAGTTTTTTTGCTGTTGCTTTGGGCGGATCGCGTGGTTTGGTGGTTCGATTTTGCGCGGCGGGGCCGTGCAGTGGGCTTTCTCTGTGTTGTTGTCATTGCGGGCGGCTCTGTTCAATGGAATCAATTGGCATGGCGCCACCACGCATCGAAAGGGCTCGGCCCAAACGATATCATGCGTCCTGTGAGGGCTCTCAAAAGGGACTCTTGGAACTCTGTGGGAGGGACTCAGAAACCCTCGGGGGAGACTCCGAGCGCTCGAACCCCGCCTGGCCACGATCCCCGGTCACCCAAACATCTACGAAACATCCTACGAAACATTTACGAATCATTTACGAAACATCTACGCGCGCAAAAACATCCACGAAACATCTACGAAACATCTCCGGTGCATTTCCAGGGGGTCGAAAACGACGCGGTCGCATCTGCTGAAACCGTGGTCGCGCGAGCCCGATTCCGTTCACGGGCCGAACCTCGCCTGAAGTGTTGTAAATTACAATACACAAGCGAGGTGGTCGCGCGAGCCCGAATCCGCTCGCGGGGCGAACCTCGCCGGCAACATATTTACAAACATCGACGAAGCATCTACGAAACATCTACGCCCACAAAAACATCTACGAAACATTTACGAAACATCAGCGCACGCAAAAAACATCTACGAAACATCTACGAAATATCACCGCCCCGTTCCCGCGGGTAAGCCACGTCTCATGGGCTCGTCGCCGTGGCTGGATTCCTGAATGCGATTACGGGTCGGCGCTGGCAATCCGCGATCACCGGCATCGGGGGTTTGGAGCCGCGCGCGGGGGGGGCGGGGTCGATGTGGGGGGCTAATCAATTGGCATGGCTTTGTGCGCGGTGTTTCCGCGGGGGGCAGGTTGACGTCGCGGGCGTCGCAGCGCTGGCCGCTGCGTCGGGCGATTCTTCCATGAGCGGGCCGAGCGCAGCATTCGAAGCACGACGCAACTCAAGAAAGGCATCACACTGGGCAGAGCGCCCTGGAGTGCGCCCGAGCGTCGGCCAGGGCCCCCTGGGCTGGTTTCGGGGCGGTCGTTTCGATTATTATTTGGACAGTCTTCCCCGGGCCATAAGTCGCGGCCTCTGCACTTCTGCGGGGGCTGCAACATCGGGGCCCTCGCGCCCCGGCAGCGGGGGCAACGTGCCCCCCCCCCCCGCGCGCGGGCCTGTGATCGGCCTCTAGGGGGCACGGTCGCGGCGCGCAGCGCGCCATGGCCTGAGGCCTGGGGGCGCGAGCGGAGGAGCGCGCGAGCCATGGTTCGGGGCCCGTCTCCGGCCGCGCCTCGAGGTTAGCCCTCTCAGGAAGCACGTTGGCCATCCTGTCCGCGCTGCTGGCGATGAGAGCTGCTGCTTTGGCAGAGGTGCAACCTGCTACTGCAGCTCGCGGCCGCGTGGAGCTCTGCAGGATCCGCGACGCGCGCTGCGCCTCTGCTGCCGGTCAGGCCCGCGCCCCGCCGCGCGGCGAAGGCGCGCGCGCGGTCTCGCGCGCGCGGACGCGGCCCGCGGCGTCGCCGATCGGAAGCGCGTTCAGCGCCTGGCGGAGGTAGCGGGGCGCGAAAGCGGAGAACTGGAGCACGCCGCGCCCGTCCAACACGGGCGGGGCCGCCGCGAGTTGGCGCGCGCGGTGGTCCACAACGCGAAGGCCTCCCGCCGCTCTGGGGTTCAGAGTGATTCGGGCTGGCGTCGACGCGCCAGCGTCGGCCGCGGGGCGCTCGTTGGCTGCTGTCGAAGCCGCGGAACCCTGCGGCCTCGTTCGGCCCGCCGACGACCCCGCGCCTGGCTTCTCGCGCCGCGTTCGGAGGCATGACCAGCAAAGGCTGGGCCCCCGCGAGGGGGCCTTCGAGGGCCGAGGGCCGCTCGAACTGGGGGGGGGGGGGGGCGCACCCCGGGCTCGAAGGCCTGCGCGGCGCATGCGCGGGCGAGCGGCTTTCGCAGCGGGCGGGGGGCTCTCGCGGCGCCTGAAGGGCGCTAGCCCGCGCGCCCAGGGCGCCGCGCCCACTGTGCGGTCGACGGCGCAAGTTTGCCGCGCTGCGACGAGCAGCGTCTGAAGCAGTCGCGCAGGGCAGCTACCGCGGCGGCGTTTCCGCCCGCCGCGCACCTTTTGCGCCCCCTCCAGGCGCCGCCCCGAGAAGGTCGAAGCGGCCATTCGGACGAAGCTTGCGCTGTCCTGGCGGCGAGCGCCCGCGGGCTCGCGCGCGGCGCTGCGGCCCCGCGCGGCGTCGCCGGGGCCGCCCCCATCGGCCTCCAGGCCCCAGCTGCGCTCCTGGGCCAGAGGGATGGGGCGCGAGCAAACCTTCGGGCGCGCCCCCCGCGGTGCGGGGGGCTAAGCGCGACGCTGGCGCATCCGAGGGGTTGGCCCATTGCGCGCGCGGCACCTGCAGATTCTGCAGTTGCCGCGCTTGTCGACATAATTAGCAGCCCCCGCCGCTGCAGCCCCCTCCCCCCCTTCCGCGGCGTCGGGCCCAGGGCCCAGCTTCGGCGGCCCCCTTGCCTCCCGCGCGCGTTTCGCTCGCGACCCCCGCCTCGCCTCGCCTCGCCCCGATTGGCCTTCGAAGTCAGTCGGCGCCTTCGAGCTGCTGCTCGCATGGCACCTGCGCATTTCATTGTGGCCCCACTTAAATATACCTCGGGCCTTCCCTTGGTTCGTCGCGCTGGACATCGAGCATTTGGCGTTTTGTTCGGCCCCAACCGCAGATGTCATTGTAGCGACGATTCATTTCCATGCGTTTTCAGCTCCGTCGTCGTCGCGCTTTCAAGCCACGTGGGCGCGTTTAACACGGCCGCCCGCTGGCCCCCTCTGCGCCCGACCCTTCCCGCGCGCCGATGGCAATCATATGGTCGTTCCCAGGTCGTCGCGGCTGGCTGGTCGCGGGCCCCCCGGCCAGTTCCACGCCGGTTCGGGCCTGGCGCTAGCGCGTTTTTCTTCGGCTTCCAGCCCCGCGCCCTTCGCGCGGAACGGGGGCGGCGGGCGCGGGGGGCGGGGGGCGAAGGCGGCGGCGGAGACGAGGGGCAGCATGCGACAAGGAATCCAGAATCTTCACCCACAGCGACGGGCCTGAAAACGCGAAAGCAGCTCAGCCAAACAACATTGAAAGGAAGGAAGCAGCGCGTCAGCGCCGCTTGTCAAGAGCCCTAAGCGCAGAACGGCAAAAAGTCACCCAGAGCGCTTTGAGGAATGACCGCAGCGGGCCGCCGCTCTCTCTCGGCCCCTCGCCATCTTCAGCGCCTGGCTTCGCGGCGCAGACTTCCCGCGCCGCGCATTGGCGCCCTGGGCGCCCAGGCCGAGCGCCCTCATTGGCGCGCTTTCCTGCCGAAAGCTCGGGGCGCGCCCGAGCAGTGGGAGCTCGCCGAGCCCCCCCGCGCCCCCCCCCCCCGCTGCCTCGCGCGGCCCTTCGTTCCTCAGTCTGCCCTGGGACTGGCCAGTGATGGCAGCGCTGTTGCTCGTGGGATCCACCGCGCCCCTTCGCCCGGTCGAATTGCGACTTTTCGCGGCGTTTGGGAGTCAGTGGCGATGCCTTCTTTTTCTCCACTGCATTGGCGCGGGAGACCCATCGAACCTACCCGACGCGGCGCGCTCGCTGCTCGGACGGGTCGTCGGCGAGGCCCTTGGAACTGGCGCGTCAGCATTTGGGCCCCGCCGACCCCCTCTCGCCAGTCGGCTCTGGGCGCCCCGCTCTCCAACGCGGCCTCGGGGCTGAACCTTGCCCGGGCTTGCTGGCGGGGCTCTGGGGCGACCGACGTCGACGCGGCCGCGGAGGGCGCGCCGCGCG